GAGGGGCAGCGGGGTGTGGGGGGGGGATGATGGAGGCGTGCCGCTTGAATACTAATGTCCCACTTTAGAAGTCAACCTCTTCTCCATCCCCACATACCCTCTGCTCCGTCCCTGTGTCCCTGCATCTTTTGCTCACCATCATTTCCCTTCTCTTTAATGCCTTTGTTATTACCTTCCCGACCACTCTAAACAAAACATCTCTTTTCTTCCCTAAACTTCTCCTGCTTTGTGTCACTCTTTGTCGCTCATCAAACCATCTCTCCTCCCGAAGATCTCTCTCTTCACTTCTTAAACCCACAAAAACACACGGACACACACCCTCGACAAAGCCGGCTAATGACAGGCAAGTGTTCACTCCAGCCCTTCTTAAATACCGAGCTGATTAATGAGATGGAGGTGTAGGGCCAGGAATGCTCACCCTCGGTGGGTGGTGATACACACCCCTGTCTCTCTGCAGCTCTCTCACACACACGCATGCACACCTTTCCTTTGCTTCTTCACACTTGCGAGCCGTGTGCAGCTTCATTACAGAAAAACTCTTCCCTCTATACCTTCTCCTGCATTTAGAGGCAGCCTGTGGATTTCTGCTTTTCTTTCTCTACTGTAACTCCTACAGAGGAGAGCTAAACGGTGAGAGCCAGCCGGGGGGCCCTAGGTGTAGCGGGGGCCTTCTCTCAAGTGATGTGGGCTCATTGTCTCAGTGGCGGCTCAGGCACGACTCACCGTCAGCTCAAAATGGCCTCCGACACATCTTTGTGGCTGATTTGTGTGTGTTTGACCCTGAGGACCGGCGAGAATGCTGCGGGAGCAAAGGAGATAGAGTGCAGCTGCTGCTGCTGAATGCTGACACACATGCAGAGCGGCAAACACACACACGCACAATCACAATCTAGACTGGGTCAGCCAGGTTGAAAGCATTTGTATTCATGGAAGGTTTTGCATTGGCTCCACCACCTACAGTGTTTCATCTGTAGGACGTGGCTTTCTACTTTCACTCTCAGAAGACCTTGAACTGTGTTGGAGTGTGTTTATGGCTGTATTTATGGCAGTATGGTGCTATCTGAGTGAATGCATTTTTACACTCAGATCATCCTTATAAATACTTGAAGGTGCAGTGTTTTGATGCTCAAATTGACCCTGTGACACACCACCTCTGGGCATACATGCTCCTGCTGAGCATGTTTCAATCCTGATCCGAATAACACATCTGTGCACTGCAGAGTACTATCTACAAGTGGAAGGATGCTCGAAAATTGAACCTGGCAGAGATATAATATTAAGGATATCAAACAAATTTAAACACTGTTTTTGACTAATTTTCTACCAAGATTATGCCCCCATATTTGTACTGAGAGGCTATTAAGGTCCTAAACAACTTTTGACTAAGTACTGACTGAGAAAAAACATAGATCTCATTGCGGCTTTCACACTATAACAAAAAGATTGTTTAGGAAAACCTACTTTCAAGCAGGTAACCATGCAGATGTTTTCACTATGCTACAAATACTTTGAACTTTGATGGCATCAGTTCCAAAAACAAGACTTAAAACATTTTATTTATATACTTATATACTATGAAATGATGATGTTATCATTTGACACTACACTTACTGATTTTCTTAATGTGTTGAATGTTTTTTGTTTCTATTTTAGATGTAATACCACTGAGTTTGAAATATGCCATATAAATAAACGTCCTAAATATGCATTTACATGATATGGATTTTCTCTTTGCTCGCCTGGAGGTTGGAATCAGAGCCATGCGGTGAAAACAGCTAGTTAAGTTTTGTTTCTATGGTTACCTCCCCTGCTAGCTTGCGCCGCTATAAACAGCTGTCATCTGCAGCTTAACTGTTTCTTGCCTATTATCACAGTGATCATTAAGACAACTCATCCTGTCATTATGAATGGTAAAACAAACTCAGACGTGATAGTAGCAGTCACCCCTCCCCTCCCGTTTCTGCCTCTCCATTCCTTCTTCCTCCAACTATCATTTGCTCACTTGTAACTCGTTTGCTCCTGAGCAGCTTGACGGTAACATCCCCGAAGATGTTCCTATCACATATTTGCAGAATTGTTGGTGTTCATTTTTAAACGCTGAGGTGAAGTTCTGACACACACGCACACAAACAACATTCGTGAGTGCACACTGAGGTTCCATTTCTTTCAAATTGAGTAGAAACAAATATGAAATCTTAATAAAGCAGGCTCCTTTGCCTCCTCCCAGATAAACAATTATTCTTGCGAAACAGCAGATATCCACACTGTTTGTAGAACTGCACTCATGTACTAAGGGGCTGTCAGACACACTGGGAAAGATTAGTTTCAGTCTCATATTCAGGTGTATTTATTTGTAAAGGTTGAAAGGTTCTCCCTAACTGGTGATTAGACTTTGATTAGACAAGTGGCATCAAGAGAATTGAAGGTTTGAGATTCCTACCTGAAGAAGACAAATATTGGAGCAAAAGAGAAGAGCAAAGGATATAAGAGAGTCTCCTGATTTCACTGATGATAAAGTTTGAATAATTAGAAGTATAACTAATCAGCATGAAGGGGGATTTGTAAAATATATCTGACATTTTATAAATATTTTATAAATCACTTGAGTTCCATATGAAGACATCATGTGCAGCATCACTCAGTACATATCTTTAAATAAAAAATATTCCAAAACCTGATAAGCATCCTTCCCCTGCGTCCTGTGTGGTTATCCAGCTTGGCTCAGGCAAGGATACAAGTTGGCAAGAGATTATGTTATCCCTTGACAATAGGACATTTAAAATATCTTAAAACGCTAAACCACAGTTAATTTAAACATAAAAAACAGTTTGAAAAAGGTATCTGAACTCGGAGCTGCATCTCAGTGCATGGAGACCTAGAGAAGTAGTCAAAAGCTGTTGGAAGAATGCAATTAAAATGCTTGTACATTTTTATATACATCCCAGGAAATAAAATAGGCCGCCATCGCTGTCGGAGAGACCCAGTGTTTGGTTTCTGGCATCCATTTCCTCCAATTACGGTAAAAATGTATAACAGAAGTGGATGTAGTCACCTCAACATCACCCTTGGGTTTGTAGACTTCTGGTGTGGAGGGTGGAGAGGAGTGAGGCCCTGTAATGCATGTACCATTAGCAGCTACCATGCTAGCTAGCTTAGTTAGCAAGATGCATCCGTAATTCCTATTGACTTTTCAACAGTGAAAGAAATGCTAAAAACAATTGTTACTAACCATAAATAAATAACAGTCAACTCCTTAGAGTATCTTTAGGTACAACTTATTGCTGAAGAACAGCGTGGCAGAGACACTGCATCGAACGCCGACCTTGTGGTAGTAAAGCTGTGGTGGAGAGTTTTCACTGATAAGGGAGCCATAAAGTATACCCTGCTTTATCACCAGTTTTACTCAAAGACTTGAATCTAGTGGTTGAAACCATACACTCTTTAAAAAATGTCACTGAGGTAATAAATCAAGTGAGAAGTAACGACATTTTCTCATCGACTTCTATACATCATATTTCTCCTTGCAGCCAGTTAAGGCCCTGCTGGCCGTTTCAAAGAATGCTGGTTCACTACACTTTCTCATTGGTTTCACTTTTTAGACCCATGGTTTGTCAGTTGGAAAGATAAATACAATTGAAAGAGAGAAATATAATTCAAAACAAATGGTATGTAAAGTACTTAACAACAGGAAAATGAGGAAGTGTGTATGATGAAGACCCAAAGTAGTGTATGGGGGAGAGAATAAAGCCTCAGTGGTTATGTAGAAGATGTAGTAGCTTGACCTGGCATGGCATGGCACAGCATGGTACGGCAAGGCAGGCTCCAATGAGGTTCACCCACCCAGAGCTCCATCCCGCCTGAGCTCAACACAATCAGGCCTCAACGGCAAAAACACACTGGAGGTTACCATGACAACCAGGAGGCACTGCCTGCGTGGGACAAAGGCTGGCAGGTCCTGTGTGTGTGTGTGTGTGTGTGTGTGTGTGTGTGTGTGTGTGTGTGTGTGTGTGTGTGTGTGTGTGTGTGTGTGTTGTGTGTGTGTGTGTGTGTGTGTGTGTGTGTGTGTGTGGTGTGTGTGTGTGTGTGTGTTGTGTTGTGTGTGTGTGTGTGTGTGTGTGTGTGTGTGTGTTGTGTGTGTGTGTGTGTGTGTGTGTGTGTGTTTGTGTGTGTGATGTGTGTGTGTGATTGCGCGAGCGCGTGCGTGCTGTCTGGCATAGCGGGCGCGGCCCTCCTGGGGCCCTCATTCGTTTGTCTCTAGCTGAGACCACAGGAGCCCTGATGCAGCAGAGATGGAGGAGGAGGAGGAGGAGGAGGTGGTGGTTTGGGTGAGAAGAGGGGGTGAGAAAGGCAAGGGGGCAACAGAAAGAACGGCACCTGATGTGGAAGAATAATAAGTGAAGAATAATAAGAAATAAAATACCCAAAATTCATACATTCATAACATTTTTGGAAGGGATTATTCTTGTGCCTGTTTGTTCGCTCACTCATCCATCAGTCATGTGCAATACGCTCTTGTCATACGCTTTGATCTTGACAAACTGGATTTGAAAAATAGACTCCACCGTTAACACTTTGGCAAATTAATTACTCCAATTAGGAGGGTACTCAACATTTCAAGTTTTAATAACCTGTCTACCACACTGCAAGTTCAAATGACTTGAAAAAGCTCTTACATGCCTCAACAGAAAATATTAAAACATTAAGTGCACTTACTGAACGGAAATATTAAAATCTCTACATCTCTACGGTGGCCGATAGGTGCAAACACGTTACAACGGCCCAAAACATTTACATTAGGAGACACGTGATAGAAAGTGAAGGTGCTTCTTCATTTGCGTGTGTTTTACAACGTTTGTTTATTTAAATTTGCATTGTTTTTTAAAGTGCAGCACGTTTTTCTAAATGCAAGTTTGCCCCTTTAGGCCACTGTCAGTGTCACTATCAAGATTGTAATGTAATTATTGAGTACTTTAAAACGTTTTCTTTGTTGTCTTTTTCAGGTGTGGATCACACAAACAAGGACCTAAGGAAAAACTTTGTAAGTAAACTTAAAATATAAGAATTTATTTTTACAATAACGACTTTCACTCAGATGTTATTTAAGCTAGGCAGTAAAACCTTATCTTATTATTCTAGTGATCTTGTTTACAGCAGATTTGCAGGATGGGTATGCAGTGTAAGTTCTGATTCAGCGGTTTTTATATTAGTTTTCCAAAATAACTGCTTGGTTACACAACCATGCTCGGATTTCCCTTAAACTGCCCAACGTCTCTATTACTTAAAACAAGAGACAATAAAACGTTCATACAGTGATGAAGCTGTTTTATTCTGTTAGGCTGGTGTTACGCTGGCGAGCCATAAAGCATATGTGGAGTGGCAGTGCTGTTTGTGCCTGACTTGTCATTTATAATCCTATAGGCAGTTTGAAGCACACAGGCCAACTTGTACTTTGTCAGAGCAGATTGTCTGGCATGGATAAGCCTGGCTGCAGAGAGATACATAATTGCTCTTGTACGGTATCCTGCCAAGACATCCTCCTCGCGTTATGCCTATATACACTGGCAAACAAGTCATTCAAACATGCTCTCACTTTTATGAGGCTCACATAAACCACACAGTCACAGTCACAGGCTTCCCCCTCAGTGACAGTGATTGCCGTCAGTCAGGAGAAAAATTGTTGACGGACTAATTCAAGTGCCAGTATCGAGAGTTTTTTAAGGGATTTCTTCATTTCCTGACAGGAAATGAAGAAATCCCCTGTCACTCTGTTTTGTTTTGTCGAGGGTTTCACCGTGTTCTATTTGTTTCCCGTCTGGATTACAGGAGGCCCTCGCCAGTTTCGACCTGGCTGCTTCACACGGTCTGTCTCATGATCCCATGCCAGTCAGGGATGAGGAGAATAGGTAAAGACAGTCAGTGAACTGACCATTTATCCTGTCTTGCCACAAAGACGCAAGACAAAGTTTAAGAACTAGATTGTATAATCTGGTCTAATGTTAGTTGCTAACATGATACAAACTATGAAGAAATATGTTCATCAACAACCTTTTTAACTAACAAGATGATAATAAGATGGCATTGACGCCTTTAAAGACTAACTGTGGCTATGTCACCATTCAATATCGTTAGCAAAAAAGCAGTCACTAAAATGTTGTTAATTATAAACAATCTTTTCCAAAATCTCTTCTTATTTCTCGTTTCAAATAGTTTTTTTAATAATGCATTTCCTTGTCCTTTGCTCTGCACGCTGTATCAGTACTACATTGCCACCATACAATAAGAACACTCATAAAGACTTGCAGTAAGTTATTTACTTTAAAATTTGAGCTTATGCTTATTTTAAGGTTGATATGTGTATTTTGTGCTTCTACTGAGACATGTTTACATTCTTTAATGTTCATAAAGTGCTTTATTTTCCTCCTACATCAGGACAAAAACCGCCAGACTCAGGGACAATTTCATCCCACATATTTTTATATTTATTGTTTTTTTTTAAATTAATTTTTTGTATGTGTTGTAAATTGCACTGTTGAGGAATTTGCAATCTTAGTTTTTCATAGATTACATAATTAGACCGTAGTGTATATATGTTAAGACAATAAACCTTTGAATCTTGAATCTTCTGTAAGAACAAACAAATCAGCTGCAGAATGCTTTTTCTTGGTTTAAACGTGCTTGGTTTATGTCTGAACCAGTCATAAAATAAACATGTTCTGTATGTAATTGCCAGCTCAACACATCCAAAAACTCTGTACACATCTCTGCATACTCAGTGTCTAACATCTCATCCCTCTCTGTTGCAGTCATGGTACTCGCTGTGCAGGGGAAGTTGCCATGGAGGCCAATAACTCCTACTGCGGTGTGGGCATCGCCTTCAATGCCAGGATCGGAGGTGAGCAAACAACACAGCCAGCAAGACAGTGGGAGGCAGTGCATTGTGGGTGGATTGGCCACGGCTTTGACATGGCATTTTCAAAAATACTTGTTTAAGTAGTCCCAATTGTGTGATAATGCAAAAAAGAAAAATGCTTAACATGAACAATATTTAAAAAATCAAACAGATTTCTCTTTTTGCTTTATACGTTGATGCAAAAATAATAAAGAAAATAAATAAGAAAATATAAAAGCATGAGACAGATTTGTAAATTAACTTTCCCTCAGAAAGCAAATAATGTGTTAAAATGTTTGGCATTGCATTGGAAATAATGTCAAAGCAAAGTGCTAGTGCCCTGTTTGTTTAGTTAGAATGTATCTTAATGTTAAAAACAACATATATTTTTGCTCTACTTTGAAAAAGATGCTCTGTAGCCACCTTATTCGTAGCGCTCGGACACTGCATCGATGTTTTTGTCATGCTTAAATGGGCGTGCTTGAATCTCAATTGGGTTGGCAGAACGATAGACGCGTAAAAGCTATATATCTGTTTCCAGGTCTATAAGTTGAAATTAGATTTTAAATGACCCTTACTACATTCTAAAAATAGTATGTGATATCCTACCATTTATTTCCTGTGTATGTATCCAATCCAATCCAATCCATTTTATTTCTATAGCACATTTAAAAACAACAGAGTTGAACAAAGTGCTGTACATCAACAACTGTATAAAAACATAGCATAAATACATGAAAAACAGACAGGACATGAAACAAATGTAAAACACGAGACAATGAAACCAGATCAGAACTAAAAAACTCTCCTACATGACGTAAAAACAGTACAAAAGGCTAGTAAGATAAAAACCCAAATGTAAAAGCACAAGTGTCACCTGGCCTGTAAAAGCCAGGGAAAAGAAGTGGGTTTTTAAACGAGATTTAAAAACAGGCAGAGTTGGAGCAAGTCTAACCTGGAGGGGCAATTCGTTCCATCATTTTGGAGCTGCAACAGCAAAGGCTCTATCTCCTCGCTGCTTCAACCTCGATTTAGGGACGACCAGAAGGAGTCTGTCAGCAGACCTCAGTGACCGTGTGGGTGTGTATGGTTTTAAAAGATCTGCCAGGTACGGTGGGGCTAAACCGTTTAGGGCTTTGTATGCGAACAGTAACATTTTAAATTGTATTCTAAAACTGACTGGTAGCCAGTGTAAAGAGGCGAGTACATGTATGGTTTTGGGTTTGTGTGACAGACCCACTACACGGTGACTGGCTGCCATTGAGCCGTGCTGACCCTATTTAACAGCTCTTTTTTTGGTGGGAGCTCCAGTAATGGCTTTTTTTGTGTTGGCTGTAACATCGGCGATGGGATGACTGAACCGAACACACAAGACAGGCCATTTTGTGTTGTGAAATCAAAGATTTGTATGTGATACTCTAAGAGGGCCATAAACCACAAGTTAATGAGGAGTACATGTTGTGTTTGAGTAAGAAAATGTCCCGCAGCGATCTGATCTGAAGGCAGAGGCATTCACTTTGATCAGGATGTAGAAATGGTGGAATCCCCTGGTTGAACTCTATCATTTGACCTCTGGGATCTTTAACCAGAGACTGAATCTACCAAAAAAGACAGTTTTTGAGGCAAGACCAGGAATCTCTTTCCAGAGTTAGTATTAATGTCACCTTGCTGAGTCTATTCCATCCCGACTCCTAAACAGAGTCTGGCACACAGGAGATGAAGGGCCAAGACCCAAATGAAAGATGCATGCTCATTGTGAGCCTTACCTCTCGGTATGCCTCTCTTTGGGAAAGGTACCTGAGAGCCTCAGTGAATTTCTATGCTTCTGTTAGATTTGATGTTGTTTTGAAAGGAGGCGCTAAATGAACGTGATGAATCATCTGAAGGAAAACTATTTAAGCCCGAATGAATCAGCTTGAATGGATGTATGTTTGTCACACAAAATATGCTGTATGTTCATTTAGAATACATTGTGATGAATGGCAAGCAGATTATAATAAGACAACTAGAAGAAGAGATATTTGTTCCTTTTGTTTTTACAATATTATCACAAGACAAACTTAAGAATCTCCTTCAGTGCAAAATCAAATGTACATTTCAAGTTTTATTTTGAAATTTGAACACTTCACAGTCATTCAAATGTACCCCATTGCTATGAAAGGTTTGTTAAAATGGCTATAATCTGTATTAGTATATTAATAATAGATCACAGGATGAGTATGAGTACATTTAGAGCGGCCCTATTATGCTTTTTGGGGTTTTCCCTTTCCTGTAGTCAGTGTGTTATATAGGTGTTTGTGCACATTGTGGTGACTCACAATCCAGCAGAAAAATCTAAATCATTATCTCTAAATAATCAAATATAATCAGTTACACTGACCCAGACCATCAAGCTTAAACATATATATCAAAAATCACGTGGTTTAAAATAACCCTTTATATATTCATGTTAACATCCAGCAGTGGAGTTAAAGGTAGTAAGTTTTAGAAACCGGCTCGAGATACACTTTTTGTTATATTCCATGGAATGCTCTTAACATCCCGATAGCAATGAATATCTTAAGTTCTTTGAAAAGAAATCCATAAAAAAATGTCATCTGTGGAAGCCGTAGTACTGTAAAAAGCACGACCAATCATCTGAGCCGGCCCGGCTAAAGTAACTGGATGGCCTACCTGCCTGTCAGCCTTCCATCTGTGCACAAACTTATCTCGGTCTGGCCCCGGTAATGGTACAAATCTCAACCTGTCGTACAATGGACAGCTTCCCCCCCCCCCATCTATGTATATACTCGCATTTTAGACTCTGTTACTAACTGTATATCTGTAGACTTGGTATGTCTTAAATGTCCGGTTAGGATGTATTAGAACGAAATCTAAAATGAAAATTGTAAATAAGCAATCTGTATGTCAAATATGTCTTATATGTCTTAAATGACATGATGAATTGGAAATGGGGGACCCTGATGTAAACAAGACGAAAGTCTTTCTCTGGTCTGCATCCCCTTAACAATTGTATGTTTTGAGCTGTACTGTACTGTACCCAATATACAAGCTGTTAATAAACTTTTCAATCAATCAATCAATCGTGCCCTCATTGGTCATGTGCGCGTTCGTGTGTGTTGGAGGAGGGGCTCTGTAAGGAAGTGGCAGATTTTCTCCGGTCGGTCGTGTATTTTCAAATTCTAGCGATCTCGAGCTGGTTTCTCAAACTTATGGCGCATTTCCACTGCAACGGGGTAGCCCCGTTTAAGCGTCCCTAAGCGTCCTCGCTCAGGCCTCGGGCTGCCTCGCTGGCCGGCCCAGGCCGTGGCGCATTTCCATTACAGTTTAGGACCTGGGGTAGCAACGCAGTGTAGGCGGGGCGATCGGCTTTGTTTTTGTTCACATTTCGAGTTGTTCCGTCGAGCTCCCGCTGGATTTGATCATCCCCAATGAGATGTAGGAACGTCGTCACCTCCTCGGTCGACCACGGTGTGCTTTTCTTATTAGACGTAGCCATTTTTGTAGCTCATCCGTTTACAAAATGCTGTTTATAAAAATGCTGCAAGCTTGCTTCTAAATATATATGCGACGCTAGGGATGAACTCGCGCGCGATCTTGTGACGATTCTCTCTGACCAATCAGCAGTCGAGAGTGTTGACGTCACTAGTTCAGCCCTGGCCCTGGTCTGATAGAACCACGATTTTATGGGGCCGGAAAAAGAGGGAAAAAGTACCCGCTAGCCGGTACTAGGCTATATGGAAAGGCCACCAAAAACTGGCCTGGCCGCTTGAGGACGGTTAAGGACGCTTAAACGGGGCTACCCGCTGCAGTGGAAATGCGCCATTACATACCCTACCTTTAATGCATAATACATACAGTATAGCCATAAGAATCAGGCAATAATAGAATACATACAGCGAGATCAGAGCGAAGAAGACACACACATATGAAACAAGATGAATCAGACAGATACAATAGGCACAGACAACTGAGAAAAGATGATAGGAGACTACTGCACTCTGAGCGAGCGACTCGAAGAGGGCTTACAATGTGTGTGTGACGCCTTCTCGACTCAAGTATCGTGTCAAAACTCTATAACTTTTTGTTGGCATATAACATTAGCTTTACAACTTCAAAACACAATCTCTGTGTCTGTTTTGCAGAAGCACCAGGATGCTAAATGCTATTTCGGAACATCTTTGAAAGGAATGTTTTTTGTGACCTTTTGGATCCGTCCAGGTATCCGCTTGTTGGCCGGTTCTGTCACCGATGCAATGGAGGCCACAGCCCTGACCTTCAACATGCACTTCATCGACATCTACGTCTGCAGCTGGGGCCCGCGGGACGACGGGGCCGAGATGGACGGCCCCCACAGCCTGACAGCGCGGGCCCTTCGGCTAGGAACTCACGAGGCACGGCTTTCATCTCCTCGTTCACACTGCTGTCTGTCAGACGGAGAGCAGAGCTTCACGCTGTCAGTTGGGCTGAGAGTGGAAGGAGAAAATGTCAAGTGTAGGGATTATAAAGAGGGATTTAAATACACACCTATAAGACAAAAAAAGTAGGCTACTGTCCTGCAGGTGTTTCAGACTAGAGAGGGATTTACTAATCATGATTATTCATCTGATTAAAATGTGGATATAAATTATCTTTTGACAAGTCTATGGGACTTCTCTCTAATTGCATGTGCTTGTAACGGCCCCTTTTATGCTTTTTGGGGTGTTCCCTTTCCTGTAGTGGGTTATATAGGTTTTTGTGCATGTAAATGGACTGCAAAGGCTCAAATTAAAAAAGTTCCCTCTAGAGGGAGTTGCTAGTTTTGATAATGTAAGTCTCTTTTTTACCTGTTTTCATCAACAGAAAAAAAAAGGGACTTTAATTTTGGGTGTTTAAGTCAATTTACTCTAGATTCCATTTTCAATTTCTGCAATCTGTGCTTGTGAATTCATTGAAATAAGATAATGTGTACGGCTCCCACTTTAAAAAAAAAATCAATTCAGAAATCTCAGAAGAAAAAAACAAACAACTGAATATGATATCCTCCACTTTGTACAACCAGTAGCCTACTATCCACAACAGTTTTTTGAATAAATAGGGTAAACAGTTAGCATCAATATCTTTTTTCCAACTAGAAAAATACTTTTTGTTTCATGTATTCCCTTTTAGTTTGAACTGCAGGTCCTATTTGTCCTCCGTATGTAAATATATACGGTGTGATATATTCATGTGTGACATTTGAAAGACCGCTAGATGGAAACATTCTTTATGAATCCGCTTCGTGCTCTTTAACTCTGACGTCCCTCTGTTTGTGTTGTCAGGGCCGGGGTGGGAAGGGCAGCGTCTTTGTGTGGGCGGCAGGTAACGGTGGGACGCAGCGCGACCACTGCGGCGCCGACGGCTATGTTAACTCCATCTACACTATAGCCATTGGCGCTGTCACTCAAACGGGGAAGCCCGCCCACTTTGGCGAGCCCTGCCCCGGTGTGATGGCCGTTACTCTGACAGGGGCCAGCGTGGGAAGCCCCCTACCTCTGGTTAGTGTGCATGTATCGCCTAACACATCTAACAACAGTGTTTATCATTAATGAGTGTGTGTGTGTGTGTGTGTGTGTGTATGTGTGCCAGCAAACCTGCTCTTTGGCTCCTGTGAGCTGCGAGAAGCCTGTTAAAGAGCAGCGACTGGTGTGATATTTATAGAGGCCTGCCAAATGACCTAGGTGACCGCTGGGCACACACACACACACACACACACACACACACACACACACACACACACACACACACACACACACACACACACACACACACACACACACACTCACAGACACACAGAAGCAAACGAGTGTTAATTGGAGGTAAAGCGTGGCTGCAATGGCTGAGAGAAAAGAGAGTAGAAGGAGCTGAGGTGTTGATGGCAGAGGTAACAGTGAAGAACAGGAGGAAAAAAAGCGTTAGCGCTACAGAAACAGAAAGGGCCATTTTTATCCTTTTGATATCACCTCTGTCTTCTGTGATGTCTGCCCTTTTCAGCCTCACATTATGAGGTGGTCACACCAGACACATGTTGCTATTGTTTTATTTAAATGATCATAACTGTTTAATTGTAAAACATGTTATAATTGCTGATACAGCAGGTGCTACAGTGTGGGAACTCTGTTAAATTAATTTGTTTTCAGTAATGTACGAAACTTAGGTTGCATAACAAATATACGTATCCCAAGCCGAATCCAAATCTTTTTTCGAAACCTAAAGTTGGTCATGTTGCATTTTCGTTTGTTTTGTTGCTTTAAGGTCATTCCTAGACTAAAATCATCACAACCACTTCCCTTTGTAAAAAAAAAACGAAGACACTAATAGACCCATAATATTCACTCTGGGCAACAATACTGAAAATGATTAAATATAAAAAAGTATATGTATGTTTTGAGCCCATGATGTACTGATGCAAGACCTCGTACATGCTTGTGTTCCTATGTTCACATACATAGAAACACATGCATATAATAAATGAATACTGTTATCCCTCCCCTACCTCTACTTCTATTGTTTGGTTGTGTTTTGAGTTTGAGCATTGAATTGCAATTTGATTGTTACGTGTCTCTTGGAAAATATATAATAAAATCTAAATGAGACAAAATGTTTTGCAAGTGAAATTCAGTAGAAAATAAGTTTCCCTCATACATAAATGAGAAGACAGTTTCTAAATATAATTAGTTTGTCTTTTTATATATATATATTTTTGGTTGACTTTAGTTTACAGCATCTGTCCAGGGACTACAGATACAAAAAAACCTCTTCGCTAACTGGTGTATTTCCAGAAATGTATTTTAATGTTCACAGTTGTTTTGGAATGTCAGTTTTGGAGGCAGGTATGTGTACTCTCTAACCCGTGGTGTGTGTTGTCCTGCAGGTCACAGTGACCAGCGTAGAGGGCGGTTGTGTCACACACTTTCCAGGAACATCCAGCGCTGCTCCCATCGCTGCAGGGATCCTGGCTCTTGTGTTGGAAGTAAAGTGAGTGTGTATCCGCCCATAGCACTGCACACCAGTGATTCTACAACAATAAGTGTGATACCTTATTGATTTTTGTTGGGACTCAAGAACTCTTCAGTGCTGTCTATGCTCACTGCCTGAGAGGCTTCAGTCTCAAACCCTGTTGTGTTGACTTACTGTAGATTTGTTGGCCTGGTTGTGATGATTGATTGCCTCTATTTTATTTCAATAGTGCTGTCTTTACCTATTCTCATTTCTAAAACCACACTCCCCATTTCCCCTGCTTTTTTTACAGAAAGGTTGTTGCTTTTTCACAAGACAGCTTTGTTAGAAGTCATTTTCCCATTAGCCTTTTTCTGTCTTTAATATTTCTGCTTTGTTTCTTCTGGAAGCACATTTCCCGGGTCTCTCTGCTGTAAATCACTCAATTTCCATTAACTGTTGATTATTTTTACGATTTTCAATTCATTGTTTTCCTCATTAGATGTTTCCCAGAGCCTTAGGAGACGTCTTGAAATGAGTCTTTTGTCGTATTCAAAAACTAATTAATTTACGCTTAAAATAGTCACAGAAATGCAGAAAATGACAAATAAAATGTTGTTTTTAAGAGTTGCTTTGGCGGGAAAGTGTTTTTTTTCTTTAATTTATAAAGATTTTACAAAATAGCAAAAAGCAGGCTAAAAAAACTAAAATTATCCAGTTTTTTTAGGTTGACTGGCGCACTTTTTAGTACATAAAGTACATAAGTTCGTCAATTGACTTGTCAACAGAGAAATAATTTCAGCAAGAAAAAATAAACACCTCCTCCCCATCACTGCTTCTCTCTTGTTTCCTTAGTCCCTCCTTTGATGTAGATCATCTCTAGCTTCTACCCTTTCTTTCTGTGACTGTCTAAATCTGCAGATATATCTCCTTCGCCCTTTCTTCTTCTCTCCCCTCCTTTGTCTGGACCGCCACTTCCTACCATTTCCCAAGCCCCCTTTTTTTTTTTCCTTCATCCCTCTTAACTTGCCAGCTGTCGGTGTGGCCTCGGGCCTGGGTGTTTTGTGGCGGTATGAGCGGCGTCTACGCCTCCTTGGTGTTATGGATGGTACTGGAGGCCGGCTTTACTGCTCCAGCTGTCATGCCGTGGCGTCTCAGTCTCAGTTGCTTGGCTGTAAAATGGAGCGCGGGTCCCCTGGGCGAGGCGACTCCCAGGACATTACTGTTAAAGGCTTTGTCGTGACCCGCTGCTACTGACTAAACTATATATCACCTCTCCTGCTCACATCGGCAGCATTCTGCTCACGTCTTTATGGAGCCGGCTTCTCGCTCCCCGTCTGTATATTGCTGTTCTTCTCTGTTTCTCACACTTGCTCATTCATGTGTCTCACTCTTCCTCCCCACATTCCACACTAACACACTCACTCATATATGCTGCCATACTCTCTCTCACTCATGTTTCCCATTCATAAGAAACAACCTGACTCATAGCATCCGCAAGCTTCCAAACATCTGTATATACAGACAGGAGGGTTCCTTTATTACACATTGTGTTTTTCGGATTTACCTCTGTATTTACTGTGAGGATTGACTGGTGCACAAAGGAGTGCTTCAGTCTGACTTCGCGGGACCCTGTATTTCCAATTAGATGGTATCAGTTCATATTAGGTGTTCAAACTGTTAATTACTGTTAAAAGTAATTAGCAGAGGTACAGTATATGTTTTACCCAAGCCACAATCTTTTCTCAAACCTAGTATTTTGGTTTGAATTCATTACATTACATATTATTAAGCTGACGTTTTTTTCAAAGCATCTTACCTACGCTTCAATAGCTTAGAAATGCCTACGTGAGCAAATTGGAGTATCTTGCTCAAGGTCGCTGCAGGAGGTGGGATTGAGCTGCTGACCCCTGATTTGATGAGCTCTCTAAACTACAGCCATATTCATGTTTAAAACTGCCGGCGTGCATCCTTAAACTCCGGATTATGTTGAATGCTGAACATATGTACGTTACTAACTTTTAATCAATCAATCAATCAATAATTATTTATATAGCCCATTATCACAAATGTTACATTTGTCTCAGTGGTCTTCACAGTTTGTACAGAATATCAGTATGACAATACAACACCCTGTGTCCTTTGACCCTCACATCGTACAAGGAAAAACTTCCAAAGAAAACCCACAGTTTAAAGGGAAAATGGGAGAAACCTCAGGGAGAGCAACAGAGGACGGATCCCTCTCCCAGGACGGACAGACGTGCAATAGATGCCGTGTGTAAATCGAAAAGATAATACATTTGCAACATAGGTAGTCCAAATGTTTGGAAATGCATGTGTCTATAATAATAAGATGAATCCACGAGGATGTCAGCAATCTTGTGGGAGCCATCAGGGAAGTGGTATGGTGAGAGTCAGGCAGGACCGCAGAGACAGGTTCAGCCAGGACTCGAAGTCCAGGACTCGAAGTCCAGGACTCGAAGTCCAGGACTCGAAGTCCAGGACTCAGATCCAGGACTCAGGATAGAGGATCCAGGACACACGACCACAGCAACATGATTAGCCTCGACTCAGGATCCCGGCGTATATATCGACACAAAAAAGAGATTTGGGGGAAGCTGGGTTAATCGGAACATGAGAGTACACAGGTACAAACAGACAGAAAGACGGAGTAAGATGCCCCCCCCAATAGTCCAAGCCTATAGCAGCTAAACTAACGTGTCTACATACATGCACTCCCTTAGGATAGGTTGAGGGAAAAGGGTAGCAAGTAAGAAGTAGGAAACAGAGGTGGAGAGGCACACACAGGGAAAAAGGTCCCCATTGGAACCTGCATTGGTTAGAGGTAAGGAGTAGGTCTGTGGCTACGTTCCACACTCCCCGGCCGGGCTAGGCCTTCTCTGCAACCTGTTACCCTCTAATAGAACCTCAAGAGGTCAGAGAGGGGAAAGGTTGTGGATAAAGTTTTAAATATAAGATCTAAGTTTTTAGGATTTAAGTGAAAGAGTAAGAACTCAAATGTATAGGTGAAGAGGCACAGTGTATCTACGTCAATGCAATCTTATTAGATTATTTTATTTTATCACTATAAGCTTTATCAAAAAGGAAGGTCTTAAGCATACTCTTAAAAACGGATAGGCTGTCTGCCGCCCGAACACAAACTGGAAGCTGATTCCACAAATGTGGAGCTTGATAAGAAAAGGCTCTGGCTCCCATTGTACTTTTAGAGACTCTAGGAACAACCAACAACCCTGCATTCTTGGAACGCAATGCCCTAGTAGGACAGTATGGTATAATGAGTTCTTTAAGGTAAGATGGCGCCTGCCCATTAAGGGCTTTGTAGGCGAGAATAATAATTTTAAATGATATCCTGTGTTCTATAGGGAGCCAGTGTAAGGCAGCCAGAACAGGAGTAATGTGGTCTCTTTTCCTAACTCTGGTTAGTACACGTGCTGCAGCATTTTGAATCAGCTGAAGCGACTTAACTGACTTCTTGATCCACCCTGATAATAAAGAGTTACAATAATCCAGCCTAGAAGTAACAAATGCATGGACTAGTTTCTCTGCATCGTTTTGAGGCAAGATATGCCTAATTTTGGCAATGTTGCGTAGATGGAAATAGGCGGTCCTTGAGATTGATTTTATGTGGGCGTTAACCCTCTGGAGTCTAAGGGTATTTTCTCGATTTTTAGATGTTTTCTTAAATCACCTTTTAAATGTATTTCTTCTAACATGACACCCATGTGTTACATATCAAAATGTTCAGGACAATCTCTAGTATTGCTATATATGCAAATTACTGACCTTAGAGCACTGTTTGATGAGATAAGTAGCTCAAAAGCTTAAAATTTGACATCCGATTTTCGGAAAATCTTCAAAACCTTTGTGAAAACACAAATTTACTCATGTGATCGAATTGTTTTGGTGTTTTAGATGTGGTTACCAAAGTCTTAGGATCACAAAAGCAGTGAAATATTTGAATTACACTGTATATAAATGTGTTATTCATGTCTAAAATGAAAAAAATTAAATTCGAATTTTGAGTAAAATAGGTGTTTATCACTCTACTTTCACCACAGCAGGGACTGAGATACATACATCAGGACTGAATAATGACTTCATATTACATACCAAGGTTCATGTGATTTGTACAAATACAAATTGAGCATTCAACCTTTTTTTTTCAACCAACAATTTATTATAAATATGTTTTTTTCAACCAACTATTTATATAAATATAAGAAACTGGAAAATCTAACTATTTACAATATTGAACATCAGAACTTTCAACCAACTATTCATTATAAATGTCAAGACAGTGTCAAGGTCTTTGTCTGTCTTCCAAGACAGTGGGTCTGGCTGCTGTGAAGATGGGGGTGATGGTGCATGGGCTGTTGTGTAGGTGGGGTGTACAAGTGCTATACGAGACCTCCACGAGACCTCCTTGCTGGCTGGGTTGAAGGTGATGGCTGTGGTGGAGCCTTTGTGCTGAGGTGTATCTTGACCTGGTGGCAGCCGCAGATGGAGGTGGAGGCAGCTGTAGTGATGCTGGTCTGCTGGTCCTTGGTGTTGATGGCTCTGGTGAAGGCCCTTGAGCCACGGTAGATCTTGACCTGGGGGCCGGCACAGATGGATGTTCTGGCTGCTGGATAAACGCCGCCTGTGGGCCACTAGGCCCAGGCAGCTGTGAAACATCTCTGTAAAACAAATTAAAACGTAGGACAATAATTACAACTAATTTCATTGAAATAAAGTTCAAGTAAAATGTTGCTCAAGCACAAATAACAATGCACACATAAAAAGAAAGTTTGGGAGGTTGGAGAAGGAGTCTCTCTCTCTCACACACACACACACACACACACACACACACACACACACACACACACACACACACACACACACACACACACACACACACACACACACACACACACACGTTTCCAGTTACTTTACATTCAGTATAAAATCACAGACACACATATACATAGGCTACATCTGATTACAAAGTCTCATCTGTACAGAACAGTGTGATAAAATAA